TCATCCTAGCTACTCAGGAGGCTGAGATCTGAGGATCGAGGTTCAAAGCCAGCCCGGGCAGGAAAGTCCATGAGACTCTTACCTCCAATTAATCACTGAAAAAGTACCACCACCCAGCTCCCAAGGCTCCACTGCCCCCCGGGACACCTTGGGGGCCACTTAGGGGTCAAGCTCCCCACCAGCAGGACGCGGTCTCTCTGGATGCTTGTCCTGCCTGAGATAGGCGAGATTCTGCGGCGGTTCCTCTGCGATCACCATCGCGGCTGAAGACGTCACTGACACGTCGCTGAGTGCTTAAGGTAAGGGAAACATCAAGAAAATGTAATTCCCCAGTGCTTGCAGATTCTCCCACCTTCCCTCTAGCTAAGGAGTTTTTCTCCTATCTCTGTCCCAGGTTATCAGACTGGTGAGGGACCCGCTGGGAATGACAAGCAAGCACCAAATCCCTGCCAGGCCTCTGTGGCAAAGGAACAATAAAAAGATGATGGGTGATGAGAAGCTCCTCCTGGACGCCAGAAAGGGAAGGGGGAGAAGGGGATGTGACGGGCAGGGCGGGCGGGGCTCCCCCCCTTTTCTTTTTGTTGTTTTTTGTGGGGTTCTTTTGTCAATCATGGGGCTTGAACTCTGGGCCTGGGCGCTGTCCCTCAGCTCTTCAGCTCAAGGCTGGCGCTCTACCACTTGAGCCACAGCGCCACTTCCGGTTTTCCTGGTGGTTTATTGGAGATAAGAGTTTCATAGTGGCGCTGTAGCTCGAGTGGTAGAGCGCTCGCCTTGAGTTGAAGAGCTGAGGGACAACGCCCAGGCCCAGAGTTCAAGCCCCACGACCGACAAAAAAAAAAAAAAAGAGTTTCATGACCTTTCTTGCCTGGGCTGGCTTTGAACCATGATCCTCAGATTTCAGCCTCCTGAATAGCTAGGATGATGGGGGTGAGCCACCGGCGCCTGGCCTCTACTGTCTTCTCTCAGGATTGTTAACTCAGGAAAAAAGACGAAGGGTGGGACGATCTCCAAGTAGGTTGCAAGCGGTGCCCAGTGTGCCGGTCAGCTGTCCGTTACTGTAACACAATCACCTGAGCTAATCAGCTCATAGAGAGGAAAGGGCCTCCCGTTCTTGGAGGATTTGGCGCATGTTGTTAGGCCCCATTGCTTTGGGACCTGTGGCAGCACCCTGTGAACAGCCAGAAAGTGAGAGAGAGAGAGAGAGAGAGCATGGCAGGCCCCCTCCTCTCTTTTGAGGGCGTTCCCCCTGCCCAAAGACCTAAGACTTCCCATCAGGTCCCACACCTGCAAAGGTTCCACTTCCTCCCAAGAGCTGGAGAGCGCTGGAGAGCAAGCCTTTAACCCATGCACATTTGCCACAGCCTTGATGTAGATGCTAGCAGTGCTGGACTTGAATCCCAGGTAAATGGTTATTACTTAATATAAGTCTGTGCGCCATGTGTTATTACTACACTTACACTAAAAAACAAGCTACTCGCCATTTATCTGATGTTGTGAAATGACCAGGCAGCTGGTATTGGCTCTGGGGTTCTTGTCTGCAGTTCACATTTAGCAGGGAGAGCCTGGCACTGGCGGAGCTACCACAGGGGGGATGTTCAGGAGCCCAAAGGTTTAGCGTTCATTCTGCTCTGATGATGACGGAAACAAATGTCCTTATATTTCCCGTTCTAAAGCTCAAAAACAGTTGCACGGATATAACACATACATCGGTTTCTGACTACATTGTATATCCATAGTTAAAGAAATCTATACATGTATCAGGTTTTGCTTTCCAGCGAAATTACAAATTGATGCTAGACCCTGGTGGCTCACACCTGTAATCTTAGCTACTCAGGAGGCTGAGATCTGAGGAAGATAGTTCAGAGCCAGCCGGGGCAGGAAAGTCCGTCAGACTCTATCTCCCATTAACTAGCAAATGCTGGAAGTGGTGGTAAGGTGTGGCTCAAGTGGTAGAGTGCTAGCTTTGAGCAAAAAACAAAACAAAACTAAGGGATAGCCCCGGGCCCTGAGTTCAAGTCTCAGTACCAACACACACACACACACAGAGCACACGTGTATTTTGTGGTTTTACCCAACAAGTAGAAGTCCCTGAGTTTCAGTGGCTGGGTTTGGCCTGTTGCTGTAGCTTCAATAGTGCATTGAATGTGTGTTTTTAACTTATAAACCTGTACAGCTCCTGCTTTCCATTATTTTGCCCATCACAGATTTAGGTTTTCGGAGGGGAAAAAAATGAGAGAGTCAACCTCTGAAATAAAAACATTCCCCAAGCCTGTGGTGTATCAAAGCCAGCTTTCTATTTATCACAATCATTTCCTAAGAAACTCTAATACAAAATACCAGGGGCCCGAGAGAGGGCAGGCACACAGCATCCCCAAGTCATTATTTATTTTGTCTGAGTGGTGATAAAAAAAAAAACAGGTCATTCTCAATCATAGAAACACAGATCTGGACCTAGTGAAACATACGTTATGTTCCATTTATATAATTTCTACAGAGGAGACGGCTAAGAATGCTTCCACTCAAGTGAACATTACAGCCCAGTTAATGTCTTCCAACCTAAGGAAAAAGGAACATCTCAACATTGTAGGGTCCCCCCCACATACACCCCACCAGCCTCTCTGTATGAAATTCTCAAAATCCAACAAATGCAAGCATGCAGTTTAACTCTAATCTCAGCTCTGCAAAAAGAGAAAGGGAGAGAAAAAGGCACAAAAACAACAACAGCAAAAGCCCATTAAGAAAAAAAAAATCCCTGCCAGAACTCATGGCCCCTCAGCCACTGCGGGGGCTGCGGTGGGAAGACCTCAAAGAGCTGAAGAAATGGCTTTTCATTTACAATGTGTGTGGACAGCCTGCTACAGGCTGACTTCATGCTCCTACACAACCGGTCTCAGCACACCTAAAAAAAAAGAAATCCTAGGTGGATTGGGCAACTTGGAAGGGGACAATAAGATAGGTCCAGATGGTGCGCATCTGGCCAGAAATCAGGAAGAGAAAGAAATCCACTTCTCAAAATCCACAGACAGGTGTTGGGCTTCCCAGGGGACCTGCTCAGGAAGGGTAACCTGCCTGGCTGGGAACTGATGGTTAGTTAAGGAACAACAAAGGTTCCTGGGAAATGATGAAGGATGGGGACAGGTCCCCCTGAACCAAACAGGTGGTGAGATTATGCGCTGCTGTCTCCTCCCTCCCTCCCTCCCCCCCTCCCTCTCTCTCTCTCTCCACAACGGCATCATTTTGAAGACACTTCAATTATTCAGATTATTGTAACCAAGACGTCTTTAATAATGCACCAAACGGCCGGCACCAGGTTGAAATCAACTAGACTCCTCTGGAAATGAGAAGGGAGACGTGTACAGCAGGAGGACCCTGGGCCGGAACCAGAGGCAAGGATGTTGGGAGTCAGACGACGACCACCTTCTCAATTACACAGGAAAAGAGAAAAAAGAAAGAAAGATGGCCAGGTGCTCCTAAACACTGGGCAGGAATCAAGACTTCAGTGCCACAGGCCCGTTCTCTGGGCAGGATGGCTTCTGGCTGGGGGGGAAGGACAGGGGGCTGGCACGGTCCTCCCGTGCAAGGTGCTCGCGAGGCCCCCGGGGGCCTGCAGACCTCCGCCCCTGCCCGGGAGCAACGTCTGGGGTCTGGGTGGAGCCCGACCCGGACACCTGCCGCTCCTTCCCAGGGCCGGGGCGCAGGGGCTGCCCCCGGGGACAGCGGACTCCCGGCGCCCACGACAACGGTGCCCTGGCAATGCCAGGCGCAGGCGCGCCTACCATCCCAGCTACCCAGGAGGCTGGGGCCGGAGGTTCGTGGCTCGAGGCCCACCTGGAGCAGAGGAAATTCTTGAGCCTTATCTCTCCAGTTAACTAGCAGGAAGCCGGGAGGGGAGCGTCTCAGTCCGCCAGGAGCCTGTGGCGGCATGAGTTCAAGCCCCAGTACCCGCACACAAAGGCCAAGTTTCCCCTTGGAGTCCCGGATAGACCTAGAGGACAAACTGTCCCGGCAGAGTCCCGCTTCCCGCCGCCCCGCGCCGCTTCCCGCCTCGGCCGCGCGGGGGCGCAGTGTGCGCGGG